GGTGAGCTGCTTTATTCAAAGATCTGACATGTATGATCTTGACTTTGTTATTGAAAGCTGTTCTGTCATCATGTTCAGATCTTATGAGAGCTCGAAGGCCTTCAGAATAAAAGGCTCTGGATATTTTTTAGTCTGACGCTCTGACCCAGGTTTAAAAGATTTCTTAATGATCTGAAATAAAGCATAAAATTATCTACAATTGACAGAATTTTCAGATGAAATCAGCGGCAAAGTCAGCCCAAGAGTAGAGTGTTTGATGCAAAAATAAAAAATCTCCAGAAATCTTCAAATTGTGTTACGGAGTCTGCAGGCAACGACTGGAAGAGATGTCAAAGTTCATATATCTGCAATCAGAAAGAGACTGCACAAGTTTGACCTGCGTGTGAAGCATACCAGAAAAAGTCTTTGCTATCCAAAAAGAACATCAGAGCAAAGCTCTGCTAGTCTGAGGCTTTTTCAAGCAATATGCTTTGAATGGACTGTTAAAGATAGAACTGTTTAATCGACAGGAACAGATTTTATGAGGATGAGAAGAAACTCGTGCCAGCTTGTAGCCACTGATTTAAGCATATATTATGCATTCTGTCAAAGACGCTTACTAAAATGTGAAGTTATCTGTGTGAAAGTTGAAGTCGAACCAGAAGTCAGTCTTTCAACCACATAACGATCCTGAGCACAATAGAAACACCACCAAGGAATGTCTCAAAGCCAGTAAATTGAGGGTTATGGAATGGCTGATTCAAAGCCCAGATTCAAAGCAGATTGAAACATTGAAGAAAGCAGTGTGTGCATGAAAACGCTCAAACATTTTGCAAGTGAAAGTATTTGCCCTTTTGAACAGCTAAAAGAAGCCATTTATGCTGTCGGGATGACTAATAGCTTGTTCGTCAGAAGAATGTCTGAAAATCTCTACATGTTGATATTTCTATCAAATAAAATATAGAAAAAGCACATTTTCCTTAGGTTGTGCAAGTAGGTTAGTTAGAAAGTGTTTAGTAAGTGTTCAGTAGGCACGGTGTCAAAATAGGGTCCAGCTTCTTCTCCAAATTTGTCCAAAAGCGAAGTTTCCACAGGATGTCCTTACTTTGTTACATGACTATTTTGACTATATTAAAGAGACTTTTTTCTGTTATTTTAAATCAGATTCATGGATATGAACCCAAACAACATTGAGCTCTGCACCACATTTAATAAGTCCCCCAGCAAAATGAGCTGAATAAACAATGAGCAGTTGTTAAGCTAGGGGAAAACAAACAAAGTGACAGGCATAGAGATTTCAGGTAAGACCTGAACCTTTAACAAAAGCTCCAGCAGACCATCCACCTGTACAGCTCGTACTGCAGAGGGTTAAACCTCCCCATGCTCTTGTGTTAGATTATAGGCTAATGACAATAATAAGAAGGGTTAAAAGAAAAGAAAATGACTGTTTTAGGGCAGACTGCAGTCTTGCAGCAATTTTGCTTTTTCATTGAGGACCTGCTTCTGAATAGCCAGAGTGCCCGAGCCTTCAGGAGGCCAGCAGGGGCTCCTGCAGCCTGCCTGCCTGACTGATCAACTGCAGTCCTCTTGTTTGAAATTAATAATATGGGGAAACTGATTGACAGTCTCTGGTTAAAAATAGAAGCTCCTTGGTAACACGGATGGAGGGTGTGGGTTTTCCCTGTGGAGCGTTCAGCTTCATGCACAGAGCAACCACAGCGTTGTCTAATGCTCCCTTTGAACACTTCAGGTTATTTGGATTCTGCACTTCATATCTGGATTGACAAAAGAGGCGAAACAAAACGAGGAGCTCATCAGTTATTCATGAGCTTCTCCCATCCTCCGCCTCCTTCTGCTTCCCATCTTTTGAAGTTGATTCCTCTTTTTTAGTTCTCACTTGGGACTTGTCTGTTTCCCTCTCTCTCCGTCTCCTCCCCCTTCTGTTTTGGATCTTCAGCGATCCCCTCCTCTAAAAACCTCGACCGTGTGTAGAGACTGTGCTTCTCTCAATTCAAGCGATTTGTTTACCCCTGTGAGATGTTGGGTTTGTCGTCTCTTGTGACAGCCTCCCCTGGGATTAAGAAACCGTAACAGATATTAGTTCTGATGCAAAACGAGGAGTGATAACAATGAAACCATTCTGATTTTTACTTCTTCTTCCCCTTCTGTTTATTTTTTTTAACTTGTTCTGCAGATCACACGGATCGGCCTGATTGTCCATAAAACCAAGGCGCAGGATTTCCAGGTTTTAGCGGGCTCGGCTGGGTTTTTAATGGCAGCCTATTGTGTGGGTAAGAAATCTAATACAAGGACTGCTGTTCCTCACAGAGGTGCACTGGCACCATTTACTTGTTAAAGTAAAAATATAGGAAAAAAGTGGATTTTAGGTTCCTTTTTCCACAAGAATAAGTGTAAAAACACTAATAATAATAATCATTTATAAATATTAGTTTCTGATAAAAGATCATCTCTGCTTTCTGGCACAATTTGACTCCATCTCAGGCCACTCAGACTTACTCTATATGTGTTTTTTTCTTTTTAGGACTGTTGCTATATCAGATTATTGGTATGTCGGTAAAAGTATCCATTTCTGAGATTTTGTTACAGCATATGAAATAATATTGTGTTACATAGGATGGTAGCATGTGTTAAGAAAGTGGTAGGAAAGATTTTTAGAAAATGAATTAAAAATGATTGAAGAGATGAGCGAAAAAGAACATTTCTCATCGTTTTATGTGTTTTTAACACATTTCATGTTTTTTTTAAACCAGAATTATCTTCTCTACGACATCGTGACTCTTCTGTGGATGAAATTTGCCCATTGTGTTTTTCAGGGAAGAAAGTAATTTATATTTGTGTCTCAGTCAGAGTTTTCTAGGTTTGTATAGGCGTACCCTCAAAAACACCGACAGATAGAATTGTGCAGCAATTAGACCACACGCTAATACAACGGGAGACAAATACAAAAAGAATGAAAGAATGAGCAAACACAAACAGACACTGAAAATACACAGAAGCTGCAACAATACAAAATCACTTGTGCATATTTTAGCTAGTACTTCAGTATTTAGCAGTAGCTCTTTTTCATTTTGTCTGTCGCATCCATCTTCCCTTTGACCGTGCATTACTCCGGGGACTTGTCTAACATATTGTGCAGAGAGGCAGGTAGGTACTGGATGCCTTGCAGAGTGAGCGGGAGAGAGGGCTATCAGCAGCATGCTGTACAAGTGTCTTTGAGGTGCACACTCACCCGCTACGGATGAGAGCATGAAGTCTACTGCATCATCAGATTAATGACTGATGTGTGGATTCTCAGAGCTCCTTCCACTCATTCCTGCTTTTTAGAAATATGCTGCTCAAATTCAAGACGTATCAAAGGGAGCTCGCCCTGTCTCCCTGATTGTCCTGGAATTACAGTGCCGACGCCATACGTCCTAAACATGCTCATACAATAAATTCCTAAATCACACAGTAATGGCTTAAAATGGGATGTCCTTATTATTTGTCCTTATTTAACACTTGTTATTGATTTCTAATTGATTTATTCTACTTTCCAGCTAGTACAGCTGCACTTTTCTGCCCTCCCTCAGCACACAGCTGCACAGCCACACAGAATTTGAATAGTTTGTGTCAATTACAACACAGGAAGACGTTTAAAACTGTTGTAAAGGACCATAAATAAGTGGTCAATAATGATTACGGCAAATCACAAAAATAAGATGAGATGCCATATGTGGAGCAAATTCCAGCTGCTGATAAGCAGGTCTGAAGCACACAAGCTCCTTACTACCACAGACCTGGAAAGAGGACGGACAAACACAAATACACAACCATTCAAGCCCACAGAGAAAAGGAGGCTATCGCACAAAGGAAAGGGAGAGGAATGAGAGGCGAAGCTAGGTCTCTGAGCATCTGGATGCAACACATCTGACAGGCAGGGGAGAAAGGCTGCAGGATTCATTATACAGTGGCTTGCAAAAGTATTCGGCCCCCTTGAACTTTCCCACATTTTGTCA